GAAACATTTGATTCATGCATGAAATAATATTTGATGTGTCGAAAGTGATCCATCTTGGGTGGATGAATACTTCATCTTTTTTCTAGATTGATGTAGAGAGCAATTATTGTTGTCGATGGATTCCGCGGCAATTAACTTCGTCGAGTTGAGCCGATGAAAAAGTATCGATTTGATCCAAATATTAAATATTATTCGTGCTGTCAAAAGTGATCCATCTTGGATATGCTTGAATATCTCATCTTTTGTAGATTGGTATACAGGGCGATTACTGTTCCCCCGGTGGGTTCGAAAGTAATGTCGCGAATAATCCTCGAAAATAATTAATCAAAAAAGTGAGCGATCCGGATCATTTTCAATGCGTACATCAATTGTAGATATTAAGTATTATTTAATAATCCATCTTGAGTGGATGAAGATTAAATGTCTCATCTTTTATAGACTAAGGTGCACTTTTTTTTTCCTCAAAAATAGAATTGGATATACAAAAAGAAAAACGTTTATGTGTATTTATGATTTATTGCACTTTCGAAATGCCCTTTATATCGAACGTTCAAAGGCGAATATTAAGTACGACCGTGGGCGATACAAGAGCAAAGTGATGAGGAATAGGATGAGCGAAGAGGAAGAGGAATGCCTTGAATGTTGAATATGAAATCCTAGATCTCCTCCGTATTTTTCTTCGCTTCTGAAGGCCAGAAATGGAATTGGACGCGCGTAGAAAATATCGCATGTACTTGCAATTTGTGATTTGTGACACTAGCGAGATGCGCTTTGTCTCTAGCTTTGCTCCTAGTGTGGCAAAGTGAATGAGGAAGAGTTTTCTCTTGTTGGTAAAAATCTTGACTATGACTCCTCATTTTTTTATCTCTCTTTTTTTTTTCTCTCTCTCTCTCCTACACTTCCTCCGACAAGAATCCTTCTCGCTTGTCCAGGGATGAAACAATGCTACGAGCTGACCGCTAGCCTTTGTCTTCCGGTCGATTGATCGATGCGGTTGGTTCCTCGTTGTACCTATTTTTTCTCTCTCTCTTTCTCCTTCCTTCTTTATTATTCTCTTTTTTTTTATGTTCGCTTTTTTTTTGTACATAACGCAAGTTGTGTATGGACAGGTGAAATCATAAATCCTTGACTGTCAGAGTCGATTCATAGGCATCGAAGATGCCGGGCCAGCCGTGACAAAAGACCAGTCGTAGCGAGGAACATGGTTCTTTTTGTCGCGAATTGTTGGTTGACGAACGAGGTGGTGATATAGTGCGCAACGTTTTTGCAACGATGATTAAGCTTGACGTGTTTTGCTTCCTCTTTGGGATTTCTGTTTTGACGGTGACTGGACTACGGATGCTTTTGCAAGCTCGCGCTTTTGTGAATATAAGTAAGGAAATGCTACAGTCACTCAGGTATGTCTTTGTACGTCGCATATAAAAGGGCAACTGTTATTAAAATAAATTATATGCGTAAAAATAGTTCGTGTAACTATTGTCACGACTTTTTCTCTGATAAACTGAGAGGAAAATGTTTTGGATTAAAAAATTAGTTTTTCATCGATTATATGTTGCAATTTCGAAAAAAAAAAAAAAGAAAAGAAAAGAAAAAAGAATTAAGATCATATCGGATTTTTTAAAAGATTTATTTTTATCTCAAATTCATCAGAAGATTATTTAAAAGACTGAAGATATAATTACAAAAGGACACACTTTGAATAAAATTTATTTCTTAATAAAGAAACACTTCTTATAAAGAAACACAATTCTTATTGTACAATGAAACTTAAGATTCTATTTTAATAAAAGTACTTTTTTTTTTATGTAGAGTATACAAAAATTTTCCTACTTAACTTTATGCAGATATTTATTTCACTTATTAAATATCGTAATTAGTACGTACTTTTCTTTAAACGTCGAGTATCTCTTATCCATCTTTCTTTTGCATCTTTAACTTTTTTATTAATTTAATTAACAACTCTCTCTCTGGGAGGTAATGGTGACAACGAGAAGAACAATCCTTCTCGTCGTCTATTAAAAAAGAAAGATTGTACAGTGGCAATAAAACGAAGGGACGATTCTCTCGTTTGATATTAACTGGGCGCATTGGAGTGTGCATAAGGAGAGGAATGGAAGGAAGAAAGACGAGTTGTTCCATAATATTACGGTAAATAGCACTAGTCTGTAGGCTTGATGCGTGACAATGGAGACAAAAGACATTTGTCGTCATTGTTCCTGTCTGTTGCGCACCTGAGCCATCTGACTTGTCCAAACGGACAAGTCCAAATGAATAGAAATCAAACGTTGACAAATTTCTATCCTTCGTGACCGGATATATCACGGTGAAAGAGTTATAACGTTACCTCTGCTCGCGATTGCCTCGTGTAGAACAACGTTTAATATCTCTTGCAATATTTAATATCTGTTCGTTTATCTTAGACCTTGCAGTGGTAACGTTCTCGCGGATTAATTATACGCCTGGCTCTTTTTGTTCTAAAACTGCTATTGAATTTTATGCTAAGCAGATGGACAAATTACAGTATTGTGCATAAGTCGTGAAGCACTTACGAGTCGGAAATGTTTTGTTTCCGTAAATGAATATACTTAAATATACTTGATATTATTTTAATTCTGTTTTCGTTTTGTTCAAGAAACGTTTAATCCAACGATTATTAATATTTTCCGTGACCTCGTTCCATCCAGAATATCGTTATCGAATAATTTTTTAACAAATGTATTCCATATATCGTTTCATTGTTTTATTGGAACGAATGAATTAAGGATACTTGGTATTATTTTAATTGGATTGTTATTCCTTGAGAGGAATTTAATTCAACGTTTATCGATATTTTTTAATATATGTATCTTAATCTCCTCCTGATTTGCCTCCTTTACTTTTTTTTTTCTTTTCTTTAGATTTTCTTCAATTCTAACTAAATCTCTGAAATAGTTTACATGTATCTTGTAATAATAAATTTAGATGAGGACTCTATGGCAATATTTCAAAAAGATTTGTAAACCAGGAGAAACCATAAACGAACAACATCATAGAGAGAATATTTAAAGATTCATTTCCATACGAGAATATGTTGAAATGGTTCCTAAATCTACCTTTAGTTACCATTAGTTACTCAGCAACGTAGATGGTCTGAGACTTTCACGTACGATCATATCCACACAAGATCATATTCTCGTAGAGTCACTCACAAAAGATCTCGTGTGTATTCTGCATAATAGTTATTTTTATTAAAGTAATTTCGTATAATAATATAATTATTTCTTGAATACAGTTTTATCATTCTAAGAAAAGATACGAATATTATTTCATGAAAATATTCGAATAAGACGGTGAAATATCTACTTGGTTTTAAAAAATTACATCATTTTTATTTGAAAAATAAAAAAACACTTTTTTTTACTTTTGAACAATGAGAAAAATCATTATATAAGAAGTATGTTATATAAAATTATAGCAGAATTTCATCCAAACAATAATTAAAGCGAACAATTTATAATTAAAGCTATATAATAAAAGTTCAAATAATAGTTCACGTAAATGAATTTAATTGGCAGGATTCATTTAATTGGGTATTAATTAAAATTTCGTGCCAATAATGAAAATTCTACGTATATAGATATATTTATCTGTTTATGAATATGTGTATGTATTTTACATTTTCCTTTTTTTTTTTTTTTTTTTTTTT